TTTGATTTGTAGAAAAAAGTTCCTTTGAAAATTGCAAAATTGGTGTTGCAAAATGGGCCATCTGTGGGGTTGCGCTTTTGGCAACGAAACTTCAACCACCGGGAAGTTTTCTTGGGAACCAACACAGTCCCGCAGGAACATCGAAAGTGGCAACTCAAAACGCGCCGTGCCTGTAAAAGAAGTCCAACAGAAAATTGCAATCTAGCAGGATTTTATGAAATTCAGTTTCGGTAATACTAGTCACTACACTGCACAACGGTACACACACTATTAGTCGCAAGACAACAAAATTCAAACAAAATTCAACTTTAAAACTTTAAAATTCTCAAATTCTTCAATCTTCAAATTGATTCTGTTTGAATGCTTCAGCGAAACTGATCGTGTAGGTGGTTAAGGAAGTGGTAATGACAGTACTGGCAACTACGCGAAAAATGTTGACTGGCACGCCGGCGCAAAGAGCTGAACTATCATGGTTGTTTTGTTTTGGAAATTGGTGAATTTCAGAGGGCGAAAAGTGGTGGAAAACGGCATTTAATCAAAAAATTTATATGGACAATATTGTTTGTTACGAGATTTTCTATAAGGTGAGCATAGTCTTAATCGAAAAAGCGGAAATCCTTGTACCAGTTCGTAGCGTAAAGCATTACCAAGAAAAATGTTTGTTACGAGATTTTCTCTAACGTGAGCATAGTCTTAATCGGCAAAGCAGCAATCCTAGAACCAGATCGTATTGTAAAGGTCATCCTTTACTCCAATACAAATATTGTTAGTAAATGGCCATTAAAATAAACCTAAAAAAAGTCATCAACATTTTCCAGTCAACCGAACTGAGCTACTGTGCCGGTGCGTTGGGTTGGCGCACCAAGTCATTCGGACAGCACTGCGTCAGCTCCTAAAAAAACCACTGAGATACCCAGCAGGCGTAGAGGACAGAGGAGAATAAATTCGCCGGGAGCATATGAGCTAGTGCGGTCCTGCGATACCTGCCATCAAAACTCAGTTCGCAATGTTATTACCACATAAAACGCGGCTTCAACTGCAGTCCGCACATGCAGGTCCCCACCACGCTCAAAGTCGTAAATTCGTCCCGCCGTGTCTACCCCGTCTGGCCGCTGCATTTTCAATGCAATTCTCTTACTACGTCCTGCCTTCGCTGACGGACTGCCAGTTTAGTTGATTTTCGCGAGAACCTGCCAAGTTCTCCATTTCCATTAACCAATCGGTTGCGGTCCGGTCCGATCCGTCGTGGTTCCGCGCGAAACTCTTCGTCTTGTCCTTTTAGCGCAACAGCGTCCGTCCTGCTGTTCGCCCAGTGCGTCACTTACATGCCTTCTGGTTCCTAGTTCTAGTGCTGATTGTTCACAGTTCCGGGTGGAATGGCGCCAGACTGTCCAGACTACGTTACGAAAATGGACATCAGCTCCAAGGCGTCCAGTTCCGCATCGAGCACGTCTTCCGCACCGCGAACGCCGCCAAATTGCGCGCGATGCCGCAACCACCGCAAAAAAATCACCCTCAAGGGCCACAAGCGGTACTGCATGTACCGCAACTGCAAATGCCAAAAGTGCCAATTGACCTCCGAACGGCAACGCGTGATGGCAATGCAGACGGCCCTGCGGAGGGCTCAGGCTCAGGATGAGGCCCTGCTGAAGAACGGCACTATTGACATCAACATGCTGTCGACGCCGCAAAAGACCGAAAGCCCCATTCATAACATTGACCGAGCCAATTTGGACTGTGATTCTTCGGCTTCGTCCCAGTACTCGAATCCGCCGGTTGCCATCAGCAGAAAGTCGGAAATGTCTCCAGTTCTTGCGGTTCCTGCTACCAGCACGTCCATGCCTGTTGGAGTGGCCAACGAAGTGCTTTCCTACGACTACAAAGGCAAGTTTTTATCTCTTTTATTGCCATTGCGTAAGTCTTCGAATGTTGTTGAACCAGCAAGCCGGCGTTTGTTTACGTTGGCACGGCCTGCGGTGTTTGCAGCAGGTTCTAATGAAGACTTGCCATTATGTGTCTTTTAACGTCGAGATGCACTTTAGTCGGCGTGAAAATGTGTCTCTTTCACCTAATCATCGTTAATTGACTCATTTTCCATGTGCGCACTATTACTCAATTCTAGGCGTGTGTCACACTGTGTTGGGTTGCGCTATTGAGTTGTTCCCGCTCTCTGAGTTAACGAGTTATAACTCATCGGTTCATTAGTTATGTCATTTATTAAAGCTTTACGCGGCTCGAGACTGGAATTTTCACATCTAAAAAATCATTTTTTCTGAGTAACGTTTTACTACTTTGCTCAAATAACTTAAAAAAGTAATCTAGGTTTACCCACCAGAACAATTGAGTTCAAAGAAAGTCGACGAGTGTTCTTGTTAAATCGATCTTTTAATTTTTTTGCATAATGGATTCAGTCTGCCAGCATTTTACAGTAAAACGTTAGGAAAAACGCGGTTTTTCGGTTTCTTAGACAGTGTTGTTTAGAAATATTGACCT